ATATTAACACTGTTGAAATTCACTGTATCTCTGCTACACACAGTGCAATATTTTAATGAGATACCTATGCTACCTCTGAACAACCTACAGGTTATATTGCATTGTGTTTGCCCTAAAAGCCTTCACTAACTCTTGTTTTCATTATTAAGTAATGGCACAACTGTTATTAGTGACCATTCAAATATCAGGAAATTCAGAATACCCCTTCCCAGTCTCCAGTTTCCTGCTGCTTTGTAGAGGAAAGGTACATTCCATGTTATTTCTTCATGGAAATAATCATTAATGTTTCTGGTCTTTGACTCATATGGCCTATTATCTTGATACTCAGTTCTTGACTTCACTGGAATAACTCTTCACTGCTGCTTCAATAATTTAGTTCTTCTACAGCTTATTTATCATGTAGCCCATACAGTTATTATTTACAGAGATGTACTCACAAAGTTTTGAAGTTACATAGTAGTTTCACATCATTCTTCTTGACATAGTGCCTAAAAAGTCCTGAAGTACCGATGAAAACAACTTTTTTTCCTTTTCTTTCTACAGGCTCAGCTATACAATTAAGTTGCCTCTGCCGAACCCAAGACATAGGTTTAAAACGTTCTACCTGTTCTGCAGTAACCTACTCTTCAAAGAATGTAAAGTATATTACTTTTCTGTAAACAATCTGCCAAAAGAAGGTGCAGGTGCAAATACAAATTTGCTCATAGTATGTCCTGCTCCCTTCACTGACTCTTCTATATAGATAATAAAGCAAATCCACCATACAACATGCAGCGAAGTCATCTCTAACACAGGTCAGGATAGCAGGATCCAAATTCTCAGCGGAATGTAGAATAGAAAAGACTAAAACCAGGTTTTGCCATTATCCTGATGCCTTACAGAACATGGCTAAGGTTTGGTCTGCACAACGGAAGTGGAACAAAGGCCTTATGAAAAAAATGCAGCCTTTCTTCCAATTTACAACTATATGTAAACCTAAGTCTGAGTACAATTAGTCATGTTGTCATGGTACATATTCTTCACTAAAGATATCAGCCTCAGAGACACTATGTAACAGAAATGAGAAATTAATCCACAACTCCAGATGTAGCAGCACATTTGTACAGTCTTTCAATGCAATCTCAAAAATGTTTATTTGCAACCTGACATAGGAAATTGGATTCCTTCAGTCTGCCACTGAGACAGACTTTGGTGGCCATGATCACAAATCCAGCAAAAGCTGATAAGGTAACTACACCGACAGTCTGCAAAGTATCTCAGAAAACAACACTTAAAGCTACCAGATTTCTGATATGACTCAATAGGATATATAAAACAAAAATATCATACCAATAGTCATAACTCTCATCCCAGTTGTCAAAATGAACCAGAAAACGATTGTCCACCATGTCTGTTACCGTAGCAACACAAATGAAAGTTGGGTTCTTCTTGTCTACAGCTTCCAGCTTCATCCCCACTCGAAATCCCGATGGAATAACTGTCTACATAAAGACATTTAATTGAAGATAAATACTATAAACCCAGAAACCTTCCCAGTGTCCACACAATGAATATATTAATGACATTTTTAAGTTTCCAAATTAGCTGCACCAACAGAGTGGCAGCAGCCTGATGAGTTGACATAAGAGATGCTCAAACACAGAGACTCACGGTTTACGAAAGAAGAAAGTCCTAAACATGTTGCTAGAATTACATGTGCTAGTTTTAACTCTTAGATACTCTGAAAGACCATGCTTGTTCAACACTGTAGTGCAATACACAGCACTAACAAGTCTTAAGTTTCATTTAATATACCATTTCTGAATTTCCTAGATCAGATGTTTAAAAACAGATTAGCAAAAAAATTAATGGATCAGAATTGCAGTGGAGATTATTACTGAATTTGCTGTAAACATTTTATCTTAATTTCAGGCCTCAAGTCTTTCATCACTGAAATGTGCTCTTAGTTTCTACCACACATATGAGCATATTAGGAACTTTCCACATCATTAGTTACAAGTGAGTACTTACTGCATTCTGGTTCTCAAACAGTGATTTAGGAGCAGCTTGAGCCTTGCATGCCTTTAGGTATGAGGGCCAGCTGAATTCTTCTTCCTTATACCCTAAATAAGGGTCATAAAAGAAGGGTAAGAAATGACATGAGACACAAGATGCATGCAGGTGATTTGATCATAACTGATGAAATTATTTTTTCTATCCAGTTCTGAACTGTTTCATTACAACTTCAAAACTGAAAAGATTATTAACTGTTAACTCCTTATTCGAATTTTATATAAACTGCACCGGGAAAATTTACTTTAAAACTACTTATGAATCTGTCCCAATAGAACTCAATGAGTCTCTCAGGAAGCACTGGTTTGGATTATTAAAAATTTTAGCAGGACATACTTTAAAGGAGTATACAGAGTTGAAAATAAAGTTGATGAAGCTTGTAATTTTTTATTTGGGCATCAGGTATTACAAGGAGGAATCACATTCTTTATTTAGGGCTGGCTAAGCTTCCTTAACAAAATGTCAAGCTTTCTTTACACTAACTGAGCAAAATACACTGCATTCTTGAGGTGTACTTTATTAGTTTCTTACAGTTGCCTAGGACTGATATTTGAACTGTTCCTAATCTTCATCTAGGGGGAAGAACAGTCATATAAATAAAGCACTAGGCAAGAACTCAAGAGATTTCAGCTCAGTTTCAATTTCACCTTCAAAACAAGCACTTCTGGGAAACACTTCTTAAAAAAAGACTGCTCTTTC